GATGGCGAACCTATGGCACGCGTGCCACAGGTGGCACGCGGAGCCATATTAGTGGGCACGCCAGCTCAGCTGGGGCGTATGCGCGCGCCGGACAGCTGATTTTCGGGCCTTCTGGGCCCACCAGAAGTAGGGAAACAGGCTGTTTCCTGCCTCTGGAGGGCCTGGGGGGGGTGGGGAAGGCCCGTTTTTCTTTCTTACTTGGCTCCAGATCCTTTCTATGGATCTGGGAAGGGCGAAAACAGACTCCTAGAGAGGTTCCTACAGACTCCTAGAGAGGCTCCTACAGACTCCTAGAGAGGTTCTGGAGGCTGGGGACAGCAAAAAACATCACTTCCTGTCCCACCGAGAGTTTGGAAATGAGCCCTTTCAGCCTCCGTAGTGCCTCCAAGGGAGTGGGAAAGGCTGTTTTCGCCCTTCCCAGATCCATAGAAAGGATCTGGAGCCAGGTAAGAAAGAAAAATGGGCCTACCAGGCCATCATGTGCCAGGAGCGGGGGTGGGTGGGGTTGCGTGCGCATGCGCGTGGGCACGTGCATGCGCGACCCCCCCGCCCCCCTCTCCTGGCACGCGATGGCAAAAAGGTTAGCCATCACTGTCCTATATCTTGCTTCTTCTGTTTCTGCTTCCTGATTACCTGTTCCTTTGCTGACCTCCCACTTGCTGTCTGTCTGATCATAGGAACTGTTTGTTCATTAAAGTTGTATATTACCATTTTAAAAAGCTGTTGCTGGAGTAGAACTCTCTGATCCCATCTTCACACACATTCCTGGCCATCTTCCCACTTGCTGGCCTGGCTTCTGAGACAAGACCCTGAAAGCATTCTGAGATTTTCCAAAGCAGATTCTCTGGGTTTTCAGAGCAGGAATCTGTAGCAAGAAAAAGCTTAGCACAGTGTGGTGTTGAAGTTGAAATGACAACAAGAGAAGGAAGCATGTTTATCACTACCTGATTAAAGCAATGAAGGATCTGTGGAAACAATTTTGAGAAATTTGTAAGTGGGCAGAGAGGATTTTGATCCACTCAGATATTTGTGTGCTTGGACAAGATAATAAAATAATCAGGAAGAAACAGCAAACAGTTGCCACTATCATTTCATGTATTTGTTCAATGACTGCCAATGAAGATGTATTTGTACAAACAGTACAGAGTTAATCTTTCCTTTAGGATTAAAATGAAGATTGAGAGTTTTGGGGGGTGTCAATTGTTCTTTCTTTTTTGCTACTTTAATATTATTGATTGTGATTGTAGTTTTTATTTGTTTTCTGTCTGAGTGGCTATATAGATATATTAAATGAATGAATGAATGAATGAACGAACGAACGAACAAACAAACAAACAAACAGTTTAATATACTCCTCCAGTTAAATATTGAGATGTAAATCATCTAGGAAAGTAAATATGTCTCTGTTCCTGGAAAAAAACAAATATTTTTTTCCAATAATATTGAGAAAAGTATGCATGATAGACATTCTTATACTATTAATTTACTAAGTATGCAGGAGATTTTAGGGACTTCCTCTGCGTAACAACGACAGCTACTGACCGGATCTCCAAACTCGACATTAAACTCTGAAATGTTATTTCTGTTTTTCTCTTAGGTTTTCTTACTGCTCTTTTTCTAATTGTTTTAATTGTTTTAACCTGTAAAAATGAAGTGTTTTAATATTGTGTGTGACCAGCCATACGCTAAATAAATAAATAAATACTGAGTATGCCAATGCTCATGTAATGAGGAAGGGGGAAAATATGTTTCATGCTTAGTATGATGTCTCTGATCCTTAAAAGAGAAGTTTAGACTAAACAGAATTCAATGAGACTATGATAGAAAGTTTATGCAAGCTTAGAGTAGTGTTTCTCAAACTTTGTGTAATGAATAATGAATCACTAAATAAACATTATATGTTTACCTCAGAGTCACTTGAACTGCAAGATGGGTGGCAAATAAATTTGATAAACAAACAAACAAACAAATCCTTTAGTGATATGGGAATTCATGTATTTTGGAAAAAATAATAATATTAGAATTATATAGTTGTCATTGTGTATGCCTTCCCCTTAATTTTAAAGGCCTTTAATATTTAATAATTGAACACCACTGACATTAACAAAATCATCATCAATCAGTTGCAAAAGGCAATTTTACTTGGAACAGCTTATATCCTGCAATGACATCTTTATTTATTATTATATATTGCAATATTATAATTAATCTAATTTAATTTAATTTAATTTAATCTAATAATTAACAATTCTGCAAGAAATACCATTTGCCTGCAAGCAAGAACTGGTATGACCATAAAATAAAATAATAGAAAATAAAGTACCTAAAGTGCTCTAGGACTTTAGAATTCCAACAGATAGCCATCCACCACATAATACCCCAGACTTAACAATTGTTGATTAAAAAGGTGAAAGATTTCTGGATAGTGGATGTGGGAGAACCTGAAGACAGCAGAAGAAAAGAGAAAGAACTGGAGAAAATAATAAAATACAAGGATCTGCAAATAGAAGTAGAATGACTGTGGCAAAGGAAAACAAAGGTAGTGCCAATAGTAATAGGTGCCTTGGGTACAATCCCAAAACAACTGGAGCACTATTTGAACACCATCAGCATTGATGAAATTGCCATCAGTCAGTTGTTTTACTTGGGACAGTTGTAAGCTGTCCCAAGTAAAGCAAAAGGCAGCTTTACTTGGGACAGCTTACATCCTGTGACAATATCTTTAACACCAGCGAAGAACAACAACAAGATGTTGGTCCTTGGGAAGGCCTCGAAAGGTGGATAAAAATGCCAAATCCAATCTAAACTGGCTAACTATGTGACCAACCATAATAGTAAATTGATATGCCATCTGACTCCCAGTGACAAAAAAGCTCTACTGTAATTAAATTATTTTATTCTGTCTTAATTAAAAGTAATTTTGTTGGCATCAAGTTCTCTGGGTAAATGAACCATAATATATTTGTTTAGTTCATCTGAGAGACTGTGGCAGATCACCTAGCAGATCTTGACCAGTCACCCAATGGTACACAGACCACACTTTGAGAAACGCTGCTTTGGAGCAATGATAATAAAGTTCAGGTATTTTCATGACTTTGTTAACTGATGAAAGCTTCCATTGGAGAAGCTTCTTGTTGCCATGGAATATTTAACACTATAATTATTTTATTAGATTAAGCAACACTTCTTAAACTGTAAGTATGTGAAATGTTTTTATTAAAATCTTAGGAAATGGTCAGAAACAGAATAAAATTTCCTATAGGAATATATTGACATGTTGTGCTGTCAAATACCTTATAACTCTTCTTTTTGGAAGCAATATCCATAACCTCATAATTCATGAAATGGAAACAAGAATTCAACATTCAAAGCTATTCAGAGTAAACAAAACATACTAAGGGGTACATTTACCTTTTCCCTCCAGTTACATTTTGTTAGTTCTGAACCATAGTATTTAATTTCATATGAAGAAAAAAAGGATTGTGATTGAACTATCTTGCAATTTGCATTTAGTACAAATGTCAGAAGAATTGGTCATTTTTCAGATATTCACATTCATCTTCTTATATCCTATGCGAGAGCCAGGTTTTAATCACCAAATGTTTTGGCTCCAACATTTGTAGATTTTTCCTCCACATTACTGAATTCCAGATGATCTGGGAAAGTAATTGGTACTGAAGGTTGAAAAATAGTTTCTTATTTTTTTTCCTACCATGTTAATATTTGAGCAATAAGGAAATGAAGATGCAGGTATTTTGAGACTATTGGCCTCTATTTTTTCATTAGTACATTTTGTAGATCTTGAAAATGTCTTTGGAGTTTTATTTTTGCACGTGTTAAAATAGTTCATTGCTCCAATCTTGAATGGCAGTATTCCAATGTATTTACTGTATATATACAGCTAAAACATTGCATTCTTTTTATCTATATTTAGAAGTTTGGAAGAGCGAGCTTTGGAAACCCTCTGTGAAGGGTTGTATTCTATTAATTAGATAGATGGTTAAGACTTTGAGGTCAGGTATGCTACACTGATCCCATGAGCAGGGGCTACTTCATATATTCTTATTCTGTCTTTCTTTGGACCTAACTAGATATAGTCCTGGTCAGAAATGGTCTGTCTCATCTACAAGACTCCCAATTCAAGATCCCAAATTATTGGCTATAAGGAGAACAGTCAGCAGCTCACAAGGAGTACCAGTGAAATATATTTTATGTTTTATCACATTAATGAGCCATTTGTAATATTTCAAATCTTATTTCATTTAATTTAAATAGCATCTTTCTAGTTGCAAAGAGTGTATACTTGAAAAAAATCCCTGCGTCACTGTATTTTAATATTTGCTACCTTTTGTTTACCTTGCATATAATAATGAATATTACTAACAACACTAAGCAGGAATACATTATGCAAAATACTTGCTGGTACGTAATGTCCACATAATAGTGGCCTAATTGCAGAATGAAAAGTGATCTTCCCTAGTATATCCAGCTGTCTCAGCAAGCAATTGTATTAAATATTTGTTTTCCAGAAGAAGAATGAATAACCACGGGATAGGAAAGATAGATGGGACTGAGACCAGGAATTGTCAGCGTGGGCCATTTGCTATAATGCTCCTCTGGGGTTTTACTTGCTCAGTCAGCACCAATTCTCTGGATAGCTCCACTGGCAAAAGAATAAGGCTGGCTGCAAAGCTGAACAATTTAAATGTAATGCTTGATGCAATGGGATATGCAAATAGTGTCTACTTTTTTTTTTTTTTTTTACCTAAGCCATTAGACAAACCATTTTCATTAAACTGCAATTTCCAAGAGACTTGGGGTGGGGTGGGCCGGAAATAACATTTCAATCAGTTTAAATATGTACCGGTAATTTTGCTGTAGCTATGCCATGTGGTTTATACTGTTTCTGAGCTTAAGATGGGAGATGATATAATACTTTTACTAGCATTCCTTATATTGCATTCTTTCCCCCTTTTTTTCTCTCTGTCTTCTCCATTCAGGTGTATTTGACAATTGCTCTCACATTGGCAGTGATAAGGGGTGGACTTTGGGCATCCGTTCAGAGGAGAATCCTGAAAGAAAGAATGCCCGCTTCTTCTTCTCACTCCGTACAGACCGTATCAAGAAATCTGCCACTATATTGGCATATCACCGTTACCAGCTCCATACATGGACTCATGTGGCGGCCACTTACAGTGGGAAGGAGATGCTTCTATACATCAATGGCAGGCGGGTAGCTCGCAGTTCCCAGCAGTCTGGTGACCTTCACAGTCCCTTTATGGCCTCGTGCCGCACTTTGATCCTGGGAGGCAGCAACTCAGACGGACTCAACTTCCGAGGCTACCTGGCTCTGCTAGCCCTTTGGAACATTGCTATGCCCCAAGAGAAACTTCAGAGGGCCTTCCTGGGAAAGTTTGAAGACAGAGAACTTTCCTTATTGCTCAGTGCAAAGTTAAGCCATTTGCAGCAGCAGTGGGTAACATTCAAGGATGGAGTCTACCCACAAGTAGAGATGATATATAGACCAGAACCTCAAGTTCTGTCTCCACTTATACCCCCACTCTGTGGACAGACTGCCTGTGATAATGTGGAATTGATATCTCATTACAACAGCCACTGGCCACTACGGAATGAGAAAGTAGTTCACTATCGGGTTGTCAATATCTATGATGATGATGGTCTCCATCCTACTGTGAGTGAGGAACAGATCGCCCACCAGCACCAAGCCCTGAATGAGGCCTTTGGCCGCTATAACATCACTTGGCAAATTAGAATTCACAAAGTATACAATTCATTGCTCCGCTACCGTGTGATTCTAATGAACTGTGAGCCAGGAAAAATTGGCAACGAGTTTTGCAATCCTGAGTGCAAGCACCCGTTGACAGGCTACGATGGTGGTGACTGCCGTTGGCTGGGGCGCTGCTATATCTGGGAGCGTCGGGATGGTGTTTGCAACATGGAGTGCAACAATATGCTCCACAATTTTGATGATGGAGACTGTTGTAACCCCAAAGTAACTAATGTAAGGAAAACTTGCTTTGATCCAGATTCTCCACAAAGGTAAGTAGAAGTGGCCAAGGCATTGTGCTACTCTCTGGGGGTTTCTAAGTTCCCAAAGATTACAGTCTTTATGAGTAAATTTCTGTTTTTAAATTTTTTTTTCATTAATCTTCTGCTAGATATCTAACTCAAAGCTTATCCTACATTAATTTATAGTTGTTGTTGTTATTAATTACACAAGTATATATTGTTGTGAAACTTTTAACAGCTTTACTGTCATTGGAAAAGTCTTTTTCCACTAGTGATTTATAGTATTTTTGTGGCATCACTCAGTCATCATTGTGGTGATATAAAATTGGTCCTAATTACTATTTTAGAGGGGCACAAAGGTTGGACAACTATAGAAGACTGTCAAAGTTCCTAGTGAAAAAAATACCTTTCCCATTTTCTCCATTTGTTTATATCTGTGCAAGTGGAAACATACAATTCCAATTCCTTAACGTTAATTCACACATTATTCAGGAACAGTCTTGACTTCATCCTTGAGTACAGTCCATTGTAAATAAATGTAAGTAGAAGTTGACAATGTTTGTATTTCCAAACAGCAGTCATCTTTTATATTTTTAATTGATTAGTTGAAACTTAGTCTGTTTTATTTGATACCTAACGAAGTATGCAAAGAATTTAGTTATCATTTTCTTTCTTGCATACCATTTTTCTTTAGATCATGACTGGCAACTCACTACCCCATGTGCTGCAAAAACTGTGACCCAGGGATTTGTGCATTTCCCAACTCTATGCTTTTTCCACCAAACATTGATCAATTGGAAAATGCTTTGCTTGTTTGATACCAACAGCACTAATTAGATAACATGTTACAAGTGTCCCAAAAATTTAATACACATCATTGGATAGGAGCTGGAAGCACTATGCAAAATGTTACAAGTGTCCCAAAAATTTAATACACATCATTGGATAGGAGCTGGAAGCACTATGTAAAATAGGGATTTATTTAAGGTAATTGCAGGGATATTAGACAGCTGGGCATAAAGTGAACATGTGTCCCCTGCAAGTACCAGTAGGCAAGTTGATACTGATAGTATTTTCTTAATAGTGTTGTATGTAGCTATACCTTTCCTCTGTTACTTACTTACTGTGATAACACAAACCCATTAGCACTGCTACCTTATTAATAAGCTTTGTAATTAATTTACTAAGATAGCTTTCTCTTCTATTATGTATTAAAATACATACCATTTATTGAGGCACTATATCATTCTGATTATTTTTTGGCAGTAGTTTGATTAGCTTTCCTTTCCTTTCCTTTTCATTAATTTTTATGGCCTTTGAGTTGTAGATGTTGACTTCTGAATTCTTAATACAATTCTCAACCTCTAGAGTTCTGTAAATTTCCTCCTAGAAGCTGAGCATTTTACTGAAGGAAGTTGGAAATTGTAGCAAGGCTGGGATATTAGCCAGGAACTATTCCTGGGAAAATAGCAACAAGTGCATCAAATACAGGCGGGAGCTACTAGGATCCGAATTGCTTTTAGTTTATGTGTCAGGGGTTATCAAAGTTAATTGCAAGATGTTTTACAGCTGCCCTAACTGTCATATGACTGTCACAGGTGTTTGGCAGTAAATTGTTGATCAGAAGCAAGGTGCACAATGAAAGTGACAAACATTCCTATCCCCAAAACCAACACAGAGCACTTTTAGTGGGTCTGGAGTCTGAAGAAATTAAACTTATAATTACTGAAAATAATATTTATGCCACCCGACCACCAACATTTTAGAATAGTCCAACAGAGGCTCCAGCAGTCCCATTTTACAAGAAGGCTTTTGGTCCATGGAATATAGATTCCTTACCTCTGATCAGGACATTTTATGAATTTGGCATAATGAACAGTAAGCTGCAAAACTCAACTACAATATATTTGTAAAATATTTAAATTTAAATATTAGCTCTGCTACAAACATTTAACACAAGAGTTCATTATTTAGCCCAGAGTTGATTAGAATTTATTGACAGAACCAGCAGAAAATGCTTGTATCAACACCAAATTTTTGCCTGTAAATGAAAAATAAAAAAGGGAAGGATAGAAATGGATACTTTTCATTTGGGTTTGTAATTCCCAGACATCAGTTATAGTTTTGGCTGGGAATTCTGGATTGCAGTCCTAATTCAACTGGGGAGACCAGGAATGGGAAATTTGATATTTTATCATCATCTCATGTATACTTGTATACATTGAACTATTGGTCAAGCAGAGAACTGTTCTGAACCAGAGAGATGAATTTTGCAAGAGAATATTTTATAAATCAATTTTATTTTCTGTTGGCTCTTTGAGATATGCCAGCTCAGAAAATAGACTTGGCAAGGACTACTGGAACACTATTGAGGAAGGGTATAATAGAATCCTGAAAGCCTATCCAGATATTCATTTTTTTTCTTTCTTTCTCTATCAGATAGAATCAAGGCAGGACAATTTTGAATTTCTTTCTTCTTTCCTCCTTCAAAATAAAGCTGGTGTTTAATTAAGGACTGTATGATTATTGAATTCTTTCTCTGACTCCTCTCTACTTTTCGAATGTATTGTAATGTGCCTTATTTCATCCTAACCATATTCCTGTAAAGTAGGTCACTTCCTCTTTTATATGCTTGTTTCTTCTATCTATAGAAAGGATGCAAGAGAGTGATTTGCCCAAGATCCAGCTATCTCATGGCAAAGTTGGAATCTGAAGTTTGTGACTCCAAAATACCAGTTTTGCTGTTCAAAACAATTTTTAACTGGAAACAAATGAAGAAAAGGAAACAAAGATTGTATGATCAGACCCCATCTGGTTAAAAGTCCTGGATGGGAGGGCTGGTGGTGTTAACGGAAAGAGAAGCAGAAGGAGAGCAATTTAATTTTACCTTTAATTTGATTCAAAAACTCAGGAAGATAGGCATACAGTTTAAACATTAGAATGACATCTATTTGATTCAATAATAGTAAAAGAAATGATAGTGATAGCATTCTAGGGACCAAATGCTGTTTCGAATAGTCCCATCTTAACCAATTTCTGGAATATTGTAACAGATGAGGCAAGCCTTGATCCTAAGAGAAAGTGACTGCAGAAGGTGAAGTCTGAGGCTACTATACCTTCTCTTAGATAGGGCAATTCTAGCCGGCTGGGCTGGCAGATACTTAGGCATGATGGTATACAGAGCTTTCTAGGTCAAACCAGTAATTTGCATTGCACTTCTTGACAGCCAGTGCAGGGCCCTTAGCACATGTATAATGTGAGCCTGATGAATAACATTTGCCAATGAGTTTCAAACACCCTTTGATTTCTGTTTTCTGCATAAGTTGTCCAAGTATGCATAGTTTCTGTCTTGTCTATGAGCTTCTACTTTTAGCAAGTTTCTGACTATGAGTTAAATGTCTGAAGAGGCAAGATTATTTGCTCTGTCTGGAAGGAAGCCTGGCACTCTTCTGAAAGTCTTCTACAAGAAGAACCTTGTTCTGTCTATAGTACCTTAGCTCCAAAAAAGCCTGCTCCTTCCTATATTCAATTATTCAGAGGCATATTCTGTTAAATTGAATATTTCTGAGTAAAGAGGAAATATGGATTTATTTGTTTATTTTGCTTCCCTGGAAATGCCTTTGTTGTTTCATTGGAAAAGGAATCTGTCCTTGTACTTCAAAATAATGCAGCAATATTCTTGGATGCAGAAGAAAATTGCAATTGTGATCCAATTCATCTATATCTATGAAACATTACAAGCTAGATATGAGGTCCAATGTGGATATTTCTTTTTTTTTTATTGAAAAAGTTTTCAAATACAAATTTTTTCCCCACATTTTTCTCCCCCCCTCCTCCCTAACCCCCCCTCACCACCCATGCCCCCCATGACTTCCTCACAACAAAAGCCTAATTCATAACAGATTATATAATATTTTACCATCCCCTTACTCCCTCCTCTAAATACTGACCCTTATTTACTAATAATATTATTAATATTATTACTTCCCCCTTTTACCATACATTTCAAAATATCATTTTACTATAGCATTGCATAATAACTTCTAATTTAACATAATAATATTATTATAACTCCCAATTTAACAGTAATCTGCCCTATTTCTTCCAATGTGGATATTTCCTTTAGTATAGTAGTACTTTCTTCTAACATAGGACCAAATGTTCTACCCCTCTAGATGAGTTCAGCATTCTTCAGTTAGCTAAAGTCGCAAAGATAGCAAAGGATACTTACATATTGACAAAACTCTTTTGCCTAGACGTATTTAATCAGTAGTCATGAAATAAGGTGGTAGGAAGCAGCTGAGCTTGAGGGGATGATTCAGACAGATGGGGACAGTTTAGATCAGCTAGATAACTTTGTAGAATTCATAAACACAAATTCTTTCAGTGTAAATACACAGATGATCATTTGAATAATCAGTTGCAGATAAGCTGTTTCTCCATGGAATTTCATATCCTTACATCTCCACCAGAAGCCTGCAAGCAGTTATTTTGAGTTTTTTGAGCTTGAAAAAATTCATGTTGCATAAATTTTGTTCTGAGCTGGAGACAAAACACAAGCACTTTGAACAGTAATTGTCTGTTCTTAGTGCCATAATTGACATCTTGTCTTGTAACTTGTAATTGTTAATTTTTGTTGTTGTTGCATTTACTCCTAGGACCAAAATACATAGTTGCTGTTTGCTGGGCTACCTCTCCTTGAAGGGCTACAGATATACTAAAAAAAAAGATGTTTGTTGAAGTGGGGGCAGTATTTTTTTTCAATGTTATTACAAAAAATAACATTGGGTGAGGATTGTAGATATTATGAACTACCACCTAAGGCCTTGGTTTGAAAAATGAGAAAGCCTGGCTTGCTCTAGGTTCTCAGTTTTTCTTATGGTGGTAACACTTGAGAAAAAATAATTTTTATTCCATACAGAATATGTGAGATGTTCCAAGTTTTGTCCCATTTGGACACGCAAACTCAGACTATTCCAGTGAATCTATTGAATTGGGAGGCTTTCTCCTAAACTTGAAACAACACCCAT